AATGATATGTCCATATCTGTGATTGTCTGGCATCAGTGGTAGAGAAAAGGGGTGAGAGGAAGAAAATGGTACAAAATTCTCCCTGTCAAAGCTGTTCTATCCCTTATGCTGTAACAGCTCCTCTCCTGACCCTCTCTTCAGAGCCTGTGTGACCGTGGGGGGCCCCTCAGTCATCCTTTCCCTAAGCAGACTCTCTGATGCCAACCGGCATCCTGTGTGGTTGCGTTCCGGGGGCCGTGTACATTTTCATGGAGGAAGAACACACTTTTATGTACCTGTTCTTCCTTTTAAATGACGTCTTTTCATCTTAGGGCCAAAGATACCACATTCATCCTGGATTCTTTGGAATTTTAAGTACATTTCCCATTTATCTCGCCTGAATTACTCTGCTTTGCAGACTGGCTCACTTTGACCTTTGGCATTTCTGCCTGTGTATAACGCCAAGCGTGAACATCACTGTCCCACTGGACAGTCGCAGTTTCTTGGATTTCATTCCCTAAAGGCAAGTGACCACATCGAGACCCATCTTCCAGATGTGCAGTGTCCCCAGCTGACAGTAGCACGCTTTTGGTGTAATTGTAAGTCCTCTAATTAAACCCTAAGGGTCTGATTTTCTTTCACAGACAGCAGTGACACCCTGGGAAGGCCCCTCCACTCTGTTATTCTCCTGTCTAGAATTACTATTTGGGTAACAAGTTGGCAATGAAACCCCAAACCACAGTTATTTAACCTGGGGAACTACCTATGGAGACACAATCTTGTGATTATGCCCAGAAACTGCCATAAACTTCAACATAAACGTATGCACAGGACACCCAACTGTCTGATTTTGACATGGTGTGTTTGGAAATACCCAGTAAGCCAGTGGGAATGCGGGCCACTTGCTAATTCTCCAACTTCATGGCGTATAAAATATTCTCTAGCAGTTCAGCAACCACCTGGACACCACTTAAACTACAAAGAGGAAAAAAAGACTGTTACACTGTTTTCATGAATAATTATTCTTCAAATGGTGTTATCTCCTTAACACTGCACGTTAGTGCTTAGCTGAGGGGATACATAAGCAGACGCAGAGAATTTTGAATCGTAGTGTTCCCTTTGAAGAGATCACTTGCTGAATTAGTGGAAGTTGGAATTAGTAGGCTGGGGCTGTAATAAACATCTCCCTCCCCTGAATTCTCACTTGGCCCCTTGGGGCAACTTTAAAACTCTAAGCCTTCTTGGAAGATGGTGAAGCAGAAACTTTGCCTGTGGCTAACATCCCCAAAGTGCCCTGGTATTTGAAGAACGGTTGGCCGAGGCATTTGATAGGAGCTCAGCCACCTGAGGATCTTCAACCAGGGCCAACATAGTTTAGTCCTACCTTTGGAGTCACTCTGTCTCAATTTCAATCATATTCTTTACAATAATATTCATGATTATAGCTAACAGTTACTCAATGCTGAAGTGCTTTTCAGGCATTAATTTATTTCATCTCCATAGTCACACTAAGTTAGAGGGTGTTACACGCACCGCCATCACCACCCCATATACAATAAAGGAAGTTAAAGCAGAGGGTGGCTGCGTAACTTGCCTAGAGAGACTCAGCTGGTAATTAGGCAGGGAAATGAAC